TGCATATAACTGTACCTTTGAAGAATTTCGCATCTGCTGTTACGTATGGCGCTATTTCCATAAAACAGCTGTAATATTGATCTCGCAATCTATCGTTCTGAAGAATACCCTTGACGTCAATGTGTCGTACTGATCGGAGTAGAATTATTCCGCACATCAATGTGATATTGATGATTGCCACAATGTAGCTAAATTGAATCGTTTCTTCTATTGTCACTCTAATACATGAGATATTGGACAACCGATCAAATGTGTATTTTCTGTAAGTATTTATCACACTTATTTAGCACAAGATAAAAAATTTACACGTGTAAGATGACGAAAACCCTGGTATATAAATCGTTTTCCTTGGGTTATCAATGAAAAAAGTAATTATTGTAATTATCATAAATTATTCTTTATTATATAAGTAATGCATTATACATATAAAAGAACTGTGAATAGAATGTTTTAATTGTACACCGGAAAAGTTTAATGTTCACATAACCTGTTTTCTACGTTTAAGGAAATTTCCAAGCATTTTATCTCAAAATATATTACTATTAAAATTGACATGAATCTCATTTAATTCCAGAAAACTATTATAGCTAATGATTAATTTAATGAAGTATTTACGATATTCTTTTCTCGTTTTAATATGTTCATCTTTTTTGCGCATTATCACAATATATATAGTGTTTCTTAAATAACGGACACTAATTATGTAGCGCTATTCTTGATTAAAAATTAAATGATTGACGAAATATTAATTTCTAAAGATTGCCGAATAAGCACATATCCGGCTGCCCAACCATTAACTATTACGAAAATTGCAAATAGAGGATTTTTCAACTGAATTTTTGATCAGAAATAGCATTGTGTGATTTGGCAATCACTTATTCTGCAATCTTTAGAAATTAATATTTCGTCAATCATTGCGAAAATTGCAAAGTGGTAGAAAATTTTCCATTCAATTTTTAATCAGGAATAGCGCTATAACATGATTAATGTCCGCTATTTAAGAAATACTCTGTATGTAATTGTGGGTGTTGTTCGCTATTTAATATTTTATTTAGTACACATTTCGATGCACTTATAATTTAAACAATAGCATAACATCTTACTAATGTAGCCTCCTAAGCATACTCATCGCTGACGGCCTCTTTTTCGAGGTTTTTATATATAAAAATAATTATTCGATAAATCGATTGTAGCTCTACTGCTAATCTACAGTTTAAACTATATGTGGATACTATAGATTTTTAGTACTGAGCAGACTATATGCAGAAGAAGTTATGTGTATGTATATATATTTCCATACATTCTGTAATATTTTATTGTTTTTTTGTGAATATATAATTTTATAACCAATACTGTTTTTTAAACAAAACCAATTTTTTAAATCTATTTTTGTAGAGGGATCACATTAATTATTATCCCTATTTCTCTTCGATCCGTTATGAAGTGTCGTCATATTTTTATAAATAAATAATATTAAGACTTAGCTATCTTGAGGCACTATATTGATTGTATAATATTAAATTAATTGCTACGTACGTAAGTTTTATTTTTTAGTTTTTTCTTAAAAACATAATTATTTCATAATCCTAAAATTTATAATATTGAGCATAAAACTGAGATGTTTGTCTGATATATTACGTAATAGAAAGGTAAAATAATTATGAAATAATATAGCCGTTTTTGACAGCTGAGAAATGTATCATTATTTTAAGAATTATTTTACACTCCTACGTGATATATCGAATAGATGTTTTACTTTGTCTCATATCTTACAGATTTCAAGATTATGAAATATATTTTTAAAAAATATAAAACTGTACGTAGCAATTAATTTGATACAACCATATAGCGTCTCGATAAATGAATCTTAAGTAATAAATATTTCATAACTGAGTCTAATTTAAGATCGATTCCCAAATAATGTGTTGCATAAGGTATCTAAAAAATATATTTTAGATATAAGACATTTAAAAATGTCTTATACATCTTATGCATAAATGTTATCAGAGTTGAACTTGACAAATGTAATTCATTAAGTTCTAAATTTAAATATTACATATTTAAATATGAAATATTAAATAAATTAAGTTATTGTATAAAAGTGGTGGCCGTAGCCTCCTTTTCCTCTATGGGTGTGGTCGAAGTCTCTCTACAAATGTTCTGAAGCGTTTGATTGACCAATCAAAAGAAATCATTTTACAAATTGACCAATCAAGGAATGTTTGAAAGCATTTGTAACATTATGTTGGATCGTACCTTATTACACATATAAAAACATTGTAAGTACATAGTAGAGTACGCGTAATTTAGATCGTGTTCCGATGTAACTGCGCAGTAATGAAAATCTGTAGTACAAGTAACATGAACTATAGATTTTCAGTGACAGTGTATATCAGAATTGTAAAGCCAGCTGGCAATATTGCAAATTTAGCGCGTGAGAAAAAATAGATTATCTATTTGTCCTTTTCTATATTATCGTAAGATGGTCGGAGCTCCGGACGCACATGTGTGTATGTATATTCTTTTGTGAATGTGTATCCCCTCCACTTGGCTTCACGTAAGCCGCGTTCTAGTTTTGGCCTTCTGTCCTGGCGTTCTGGTATTATTGCCTGTTTTCACATCGCGTTCAGTCGTGTTTTATGTAAGATGCAATCGCTTACGTGGAAAAAGTCCCTTAGACTCGCGGAAATAATTTGTTATCAAAGGCCTTGATCTAATCGCCGGTAAATTTTAGGCTGATAAATCGCGTTTTGCACTCATGCATTAGATATGGAGTCTTACAGTGCTCAGTCTATCGCAACGTGATGTATTATGAAGTTACGACGAGAAACTAACCTTAAGTGGACGTTCTTGACGTAACGTAGTCGGTATATTATTGTCTCCGATTGGCCACAAAATCTTATTAAACGATGAGCGATGCGTATCAAAGGCCTGCTATTGTTGCTTATCTGCATAGCAGGGAGCAGCATTGTTTTTATCGCCTTCAGCAATCAACGATCTTCCATTCAGACTATAGTGACGGAGACTCACAAACAATTACGGAGCTTCCAGGCAAGTATGATAAACCTATTGTTTTTAAATGGACTTTTTATACGGTTTATTTCTTCTTTTTTTTCACGTTGAAGAGAAAAAGATCAACCGTACAAGAAGTTATGCTAAAAAATACCTATTAATATTTAGTAATCTCTACTTTGTAGATTATTTTTCCTTGTTTTTCTCATGTGCAAGATCTTACTTTTAGGAAAATTTAAAAGATGTTGAGGAGAAACGTCTAGTAACAGATTCCAAGTACCTTGCATTGCTTGGTCTGGATGGACAGACAGCTACCACGCCGATTAGTTCCAAATCTCACAATATAACGGTTGTATCGCTCGTAAGGCCTGGAAACGAGCAATATATATATGGCTTCGTTAGAAACGTCAGCCACTTTTTGCCAAATAATAGTATTGTAATTTATAGCGTCGGTTTAAATGAAGATTCCTTACAAAGTATTAGACTTGCCTGTAATTCTACAAGATGTAACGTAACTCACTTTGATCTAAGTCCGTTTCCTGCTCACGTCGAAGATGACACGCTACATGTTTATAGACCTTTAGTTATTCAAGTGAGTAGTCGTTGAAAAAGTCTATAGATTTTCAGAAGGAAGATACTAATTGAATAATGTTTTTATGCTGCAGACAGCTTTAAATACACTAGGTAGTATAATTTATATGGATTCCAATGTACGCCTGAATTCTTCAGACATTGCGAAATATCTTTGTCCAAAATATGGAATCTTAACTTGGCCTACAAGGCACGCCATTAGTTCATTAACACATCCAAAGATGTACGAGTACTTTCATGCCTCTGCTGAGAGCTTCTTTTTTCTCCCACTAATTAGAGCATCACACTTAATAATCAGCAATTTCAAAGACATAAGAGAAAAAGTAATGCTACCTTGGGTCCAGTGTGCATTGACGAGAGATTGTATTTCCCCTATTGGTAGGTATCTTTCTTGTAAATGTTATATTTAATTCTTAAATTTTATGTAGATGTGTGTATGTCCATAATTTTATATGTATTAATAAGTATCTAATTCTTTATATATTCTTTATATATTTTTTATATATGTATTATAAGTTTTTAATTGAATATTTGTAGGTGCGCAATCGGCAGGCTGTAGATTCAACAAAAAACCACAATATCGATATTCTGGTTGTCACGCATATGACACTTCTGCGTTAAATATAGTTTTGGGATTACATTTTAACTTTGATGATACGTACTATGTACACAAGGAGCGGGAGACGTACTTTAACAAAATCCAACCCGAAGAGATCACCGAAGAATACCTTATGATCACACGACAAAACAATGCCACCGAGACCAACGTTAAGAATTTCATTCAGGAGCGCTAAATCTTTTTTGATCTCAATTTACCTTAGGTAATTAATACGTCGGATAAGCACAACTTAATTTAAGATTGTTAAGCATTCATTTAAATTATAATAAATAGCGAAATGAACAAACGTGAAGTTACATTTCAAAGACATCAAATACCTTTAAATCCTGAATCTACTCCTCTTTTTTTTATTTCTTAATATTTTTATGATTAGATTCTTGATAGAATTAAGCAAAATGATAGTAATGTATATGTGTTGCAGTCTCATTACATTTATTTATAAGGCACTAAACTGCCGACATTTGACAAAGTTCATATAATCTATAATTATATTAATTTCATATGTTTTTGATGACCTATACATACTAACACTTGTACTTTTAATGGGCCGAGAATTAATTCAGGTCCTGGGTTATTATGTATAACTTTTTCCGTGGGATGGAAACGTGAAAAGTTAAAATTTTATTTTTAATAATAGTTCATTTTTCATGTTTTCGCCTAAGGAAAAAAGTTATATGATCGCTATCCTGATGACGAAATTTTTTTACAAAGTATTCTTTGTCTAGTATATGTACAAATAAAACGTAACATAGAATACATATATTAAGTATAAAGATAATCTTTAAGATTCTTCGAAATTATACACTTATTCTACATTTGACGTTGTAAATCGGTACGTGTTACGGAGCTTATCTGTTCGTGTTCTTTATTAATATCGATTTTTCCTTTCTCTCATCGACTTTTGTTTCTTAATATAACATTTTAATGGAACGCATGAACATATCAAAGTGTATGATCGTGTTATTACGGCGACCGTGCATATTTAACATTGTATGATTTACGCGATCATGGCTTTTTCCTCTTCTTGAAGTCGCTCGATATCAGACTTATTCATGAAGTAATATGAAGGTTGTCGGGATTTCTGAAAGCCAAGAAAATTAGCTCTCTGCTTTGTAACTAATTATAGAAATGCATATATACGCAACTTACCAGATCTTTGACGATGCGTTTTGCACCCGCATTGATCAATATGTTACTCAAGACCTCCACGGACGTCACGCCCATTGCGTAATGAAGAGCCGTTCTCTCCAACTAGAACAAGAAGGATTAATGTTTCTTATATTTTATTGCAGCATTTCCTATTTTTTTTAGAATATGTCTTTTTAGTATTGGTTATATAATTGTCATTAGTTAATTGTCTTAATTAATGCTAACGATTTGTAATCATGTTTACAGTCAACATTACTGTAGAGATTTACATTACTCGGTTATTCTTAGCGACTCTTTTACGAGATTAAGTTGGTATAATTTTTTTTTCGTTATTTATCAGAAGATACGGCAATATCTCGGCGTTATGTGTTTTTTTCAATGATTCATACATTATCACCGATGCGTAATGTTTCTGGATACGTTTTTGCGATAAACTTGACAAGTTCTTCATTTTCTAGAAGTACAGCGATGTGCAGAGCGCATCGACTCATCGAGTTCTTTCCAACCACCAGTAATTTTCCACCTCCATTATTTTTACTCAAAAGTTTTACACGTTCCTCGTCGTTGGCCCGAATAGCAGCATGTACTTCTTCGCGTTGATTCTAAAATATATTAGTAATTAGACGATTATGTTAAGCCATAATTCACAAAATAATATTTTTCGTTACTTATTGAACGCCAACTTACTATGTAATTAGGAATTGATTGTAGAAATTGTACAGTAGCTTCGTGTTTTCTTTCCGCGGCTACTTCGACGATGCTTACTCCATCATCTTCGGCGTCTAGGATGTGATCGTAGCCCTCAAGTAGAAGCTCGACTAACTTTTCAGTCTCTCCTGCGTATCAGATTGAGATTGGATTGAAATTAATTCTCCTAACTTTTACACGAGCTGCATTTTTCTCTTTTACCTCTTGCCGCAAGATAAACAACGAAACGGTCGATTTCTTCGATGTTCTCCTGGATATTCGCCTGTTCGGCAACGTCTCTGGCTGTCCGATACAATTCGTCCCTGAAACCAACATTGACTTGCGTCTCTAGCAGCAGGTGATACAAGCCATCCTTTGAATAGGAACGAACCGCAGCGAAGTGGATCATACTTTGCCCATGTTCGTCCTAAAAAAAAAAAAACGTTTTCATTCTTATTCATTACCATTTTGCAAAATCACTTTTATTTTTACACACAGAAGAATATCATTCTATTGCTAAGAAAAGTGATTACACTGATTATTCACTTTATTTTCTTTCTTTTAAGTAACGCTTATCTTCAACAAAGAATATTTTCTTAAAATAATCTTAAAATATGCTTATTAGAAATTTTAGAAAAATTCATTAATCATGTATTCAAAACAAGAATTTATTTTCTTTTGAAGAACAATATAAAATTTTGTCGAAAAAGCGATTTTATATAACAAGCGAATCGAATTTGTTTTAATTTAATGATCTTGATCGAAATATTAATGAGCACACAATTCAACGATGGTTCAGCAAATTTTGTATTGGAGAAGGTACATGGAACTTGAGCTTATTTCAAAAGATATCGTTTATAGTTTTTGGAAATCACGAAACTGACGCTTTTAAAAAAAAAAGGAATTTATAATTTAAAGTCACGCTAGAAATAATATATTAATTTAAGAAAATTTGTATGTATCTTTATCTAAAGGATATATAGACTATTATCAACCTTTATTTAAATATAAATGAAAGAATAATGAGACTTGAGACATAATGTTGGGATATCAAAAATACCTCACGCGAATAACTATTAATTAGATTTTAAAAGAATTGCGCAAGTAATAAAGGAACAAGTGTCAGAGATTGCACAAAGCAAAGCGTGAAATGTACAACGATACCCGTTTGTCAAAATCATATAAAATACGAATAATTAAATAAACCGTGAATATTTTTCGTACGCGATAGTTGGGGTATCGGAAAGGCGCGGCGCAACACGAGACAGGGAGCGCGAACAGCGAGGGGGAGCGCGGTTAACTATGTCATCACTTTGGCATTCGCTCGGCGACCTTCAAAGGGAACGGCAGTGGTACGAATCGCTCCGAATAGCGCATTAATACATAAAAATTAGATATCTATGAACGCGAATTACGTAAAGGTAAGGTTGCCCAATACCTTAAGGTGTGTAATAAGGGTCAAGAAACACAACAGGTCAGAAATTATTTAAAATAATAAATTCTAAATAATTCTTTTATCTATTTATTAAAAATATATATTTTAATAGTGCACATATAATTTATTTGATATATTGCTTATTCAAACGAAATATTGGAAATTATAAAATAAATAATACGCGCCGCTAAAACTAAACTGCTGATTTCTGAAAAAACCGATGCAACAAATTATTTCATGAATTCCGCGACGGAATACTAATTGGATTTTAGTTTATTTCGCATAATGTAAAAAAATAGAGAACAAAACTTGTTCTCTAGATGTCAAACTTTTTTTAGGAATAAAAAAGGAACCGATATTTTACCAGGTACTCTTAGACTGCGTTCCGTTTCGCGCATGCTGCATGATTTATCCTTGTTATTCACCGAATGTTAAACGAAGATAGATGATGCATCATGCGCATCATGCGTGAAACGGAACGCAGCCTTAGTATTTAAAAGAAAAAAAAAAGAAATGTGCAGGACACGAATAATATAGAGGTGTGTATTAAGGATTAAAAATAATGAATTCTTAACTTTTTAAATTATTTTAATTGCGTCAATGTGATAGATTTAATAAATCTTTCTATGTACGAAAACGTTAAATTAAAAGATTCTTTTTGTAAAGAATGAATATTGCATAATTATTTAATTTTTTATTTAAAAAGAATTCGATATTTTGTTTATAAAAGCAAAATTTTAGTAACTGACTTGTTCGTGTTATCCTTGGTGTTATCTAATTGCTATATAATGTAATAGTATTTATATATAAAAATTGAAAGACTAAAATAACTGAGTAAAAATATCAATCTAATTTAAACTTATTAATAGGATTTAAAATATATTTTAAACAAGTTTGATACTTGTAATGAATTTATGATAGATTTGTAAATATATTAACTTTTGAAAAACTTGAAGCAAGTAATTATTATTTGCGTACAGTATGTATTTTTCCGTGTGTATTGCAAAGGACCTTTCAAATAAATTTTAGCGTAAATTCTAAAGTTTTATCCTACAAAAATTGGAATACATTTTTATTCACATACCCTGTTAGGATTGCTAAATGTGGATTCAGGTATGTCAGAATCTGGGCTTTGAGGATAGCCAGCGTCATCATCGAAAGTGTCATTCTCGATATTATTATCGATATCCAAATTTTCTTCGTGATCAGGTATTAAGAGGACATCAGATTCCTGAAAGCAGAGTGAAATAAAGTCAGCGTGAAACAGTCCAATATTAATAATAATATTCTGTGACGTTTAATTCTTCAGTCGATCGAATCGAATATATACCTGTTCATTGGCTTTATTCTGGCTAGCAAAGTTGTATAAATATGTCGCAAGATATGTGATCGGATCCTTTGGACGTGCATTAGCTACTTCTGTTAATCCTTTAATTAAGGGATCACCCAGCGCTGAAGAACAAATGATTTTGTTACATAGATTTTTATAAAAGTATGCTGTGACTATGTGTATGCTATACTTACATGATGCTAAGTAATGTCCTTCCTCCGTACGAAATATTGGAATGTCGACTTCGCTATCATCTGTAAAATAAATCCATTAGATTGTCAAATAATAATTTAAAAAATATTGTGTGCATGTTATTTTAATTTAAAAAATATGGAAAGAGAGAACGCGATTTTGATGATGTATCTAAATATTTTTAGCTAGAGATACAGATCTGAAAGTAATTTTGTATCATCAAAATAATTATGTAGGAAACTGAAGCGATAAGCGATGCTTTAAAAAAGTTTGATATTCTAGCAATCAGTTTCAGCATCTTATATAATTATTTTAATGATACAAGCAACGTTATTTTTAGTTCTATATCTAGCTTAATTTTTAGATACTTCAACAAAAGCGTTCTTTCCGTGTAATTAAGTCATAAATTAAAATTTTATTAAAAAAACACTAGCATACACGTTCTTAGCTTTAATTTGCTTTTGCAATGTATTTTTTACTGAAAATGATTATTACATTCCTACATAACATGTGTAAATTCTAATGAAGTTTTAGTGAAATCCCAAGCAAAAAGTAATTCTTTTTTTTTATTTTAATTATCTCCTATGATTTAGAAGAATTTTTTATATTCATGCAATAATCGTTTTCAGCTCTATTAAAGATATATTATGAAACTCTGTGCAATATAGCAACTCGGCAAACGTGATGGCAATACAGAATTAATATTATTACGATACAATACATATGTGTATATATATATATATACACACACACAAGCTCAAATTTAATGTGCAAAAGCATAAACAAACACAATTGCATAACACAAACACGATTGATTTGTCTGAAAAAGTGCATTCGTGAATTATACTGTATAATACAATGAATAATTATAATCGAGCGCAATTCTTAATCAATAGACGTATAAATGTCAATTTGTTATCATCTTATCGATAATAAAATCATTTTCTACTATTGAGTAGAATATCAATTTTTATTTATTGTTCTTCTATTATAGTAAATATTTTTTTGCGTAATAAAATATAGTTATTGCATAATATATTACACAAAATAGGATAATGGTAATAAAAATGTATGAAGTATACATGTATACTTGTACATATTTATAAAAATTAATTACAGTTTGACACTTAGACGCCTATTGGTTCATTTTTTAATTAACAAATTTACATCGCGATGCTTAGAATAAGAATAAAAGAGAAGGTACATAGGTCTATTTTAGTACGAATAATAACACTGAGTTGGAAAGACGTGTGCTTCGCCATTTTTATTTTGTGTGAACATCGACTCGTGCATTACATATAAAGAAAGCTATTAAAAAACTTTAACATATTTCAAGCTTATTGTGCCACCAATATCGCCTCAAAAATTTTTATATATTCGACTTTACATGAAAATAGTGTCATGCTTACCAAGAATATATATTTATATAAACACGATAATCTATCGATAAACATTATTAAATATTTCCTATAATTCTCACAGTTGTAATTACGAATCTTCTCAGTAAATGTTCATTAACAATAACATCACATTAATGTTATAATTCTCACTCAATAATATAATTGTTACGTGCAATATGTGTTATATTACATTTATATTGTTGAGTGGGAAATTATAATATTGATGTAATGTTACTGCTAGTTTGCGTTTACTAGGTTTGATTTGAATAAACATTTATTTTGTTATATTTTACATCAAGGAGAATTCATGTAAAATCGTTGCTCTTACGAGTAATGTTAGAATATACACAATTTTTACAATTTACCGAATTACTCCAAGAGAACAAATATTTACAAGATATAATTGTGAGATATTGTGCAACAATATATCGTGTATAATATATACCAATAATGCTGATTATTTACTAACCTAATCAGCAATCCTGCGATCTCGTCGCCGGTTAATCCGATTAATAGAGCGACTACGAGTATAATTTAGTGTAATTTCATAAGAGAGACGCTGGGTGCACGAGAAGAAATAAAATAACGTTCACACATCTTTCCAACGCATTTCTCTCCCCTTCTTTCTCTCTATCTCTCTCCCTCTTGCTCATTATAGTCTAAACATTATTTAAAAAGTTCAGTCTGTCAAGAGTAATTGACGATCAAACATTGGCTGATAATTATCACAGAAGATTTTCACGAATAAGCGTAAGTGTTACTTATGGAAAAACTTGAGAGAAATTTTAAAGAACGGAGGCTCTCAAAGGCAGATCATTAGTGTTGTTAAATAATGAATAAAAGTGAAATCAGTCGTTTTGTTTTTCAGTATCTAAATATGTCTGACAATGAATAAGAGTTTTTGCCATGTAAAATTCCTCAGACCATGTTAATAATTTTTTTTTGATAAGTTATGTAATATATATACATATACATTTTATAGAAATTATTATTTTCGATAATTCTCGTTTGGTTGCCTTATGCAGTTTGTTTTTAACAAACTGTTGCTTGCCAATTTTGTCTCTAAAGCGGGCAGAAAATGATTAAATAGATCATTTTTAATAACTTAAAATCTAATATTATTGTCTCTCGAAATTGTGACCATCAGTTCTATGTCTTGGCGAGATTTCTCGCCGCGTTCGCTCGCTTGCGGAATATGCCGGTGATGAGATTGGCGATCTTCATCGAGTTGTTCAATGATAATTCCTTCTCCAGCGTGATGATATTGTGTACTGCTCTGGAGAAGTCCTGGAGGGTCTGCAGTTCGGTAATGGCTAGTGATTGTTGATTGCCGATCCTCACCATGTCGCTCTTCACGGTGTCGCGCACGTTCAGGCCGCGCACCACGCATAGGTGTCGCAAATTGTCAGGCGTTTTCGAAAGTTCAGGGAATCGTATGATCAGGCAGAATCTGATGGTGTTGCCGAGGGTGTGCGGACGAGCGGACAGGAAACCTAGCTTCTGATCTCGTTTGAACTTCAGTCTTTGGTCGAATATCATCATCAGTTTAGCTACCCTAACATAAGCGCGACCCAGTAAACCTGGCCGATTCTCATTGGTGCGACAGATAACTCTCAAGTGATCCTGAATGTTTACCCATGCCGCGAGGTCGCCGGCCGTGGTGACGTACACACCACGTCCATAGGGCCAATGCTTGCCGTGAAGACGCCGTTCGTCGTTTGGCTCGAACTCTGTGATTGGTAACAATAGACCGGCTGCCGCTAATTGCGCCCGTATCTGGCTGGGTTGTTCGAGAATTTCGTTAAGCGTAAAGTACGTGCCGGCCTCGTCCTCGCTGCTTCCTTCTGCCATCAGGTCGGTTATCTCTGGACTCATTAGTTGATTGGTGATTTCCCTTTCGACCTCCTCCAGTTGATTGACTGTCAAAGTCAATGGTAGGCTGTAATCAACTAGGTTCCGGGTACACTCTAAAATACCAGCTTGGATATATTTGGTGGTCGGATCTAGATCGTATTGTTCGAGTGCGGTGACGATCGTTTCATCCGGCGGACCCTCCTTGCCCTCTTCACTTTCGCTGAAGAAACGTGGTAGCGAATGATCGGGTAGGTCGCCACTTGCGGTTACGCAGTGCAGCTCCCGAATGAAGGGATCGAAGAACTCCGTAAAAACGACATAACTTTCAAAATCAGGCGCGACCACGCCATAACCGTGATCCTCGTCTGCGATGTTGCTGATGTTCGAGCGAGCACTGCTGGTCTTGCTGCCGTTGCCTGTGACGGTACCGTACCTTTTCAGAGAAGGCCAGATCACGTCAAAGAGATTGTGATCCATGCGAGTCACACGGTGCTTGATCAAATCGAACACGGGCCGTTTTAGGCAACGAGCGACTAGTGTACCGGCGTTCGACGACGGGGTTTTTGGTAATAATGACGATCGCCGGTTGCCCGCCAGTAATCGGAAACATCGTTCTAGAGTTGCCAGGACCTCAGGCTCGCTCACATCACGCCGAGCCGAGTAGATATCACCTCCAGGTACTGTAGATCTCGGTTGAGTCAGCAGCAGCGGCGGTTGAAAGAACATCATCGGCGTTGAGAGATGTAGGTTGATGAGGAAAAGTGAATAAGCAAATTTTGCGGTGACGTTAGTAGCAATTATCAAAGAATAAATATTAATAAATTAAGCTTCAAATAAAATACTTCACTTGAAATACATGAAAAGATGAAATTGGTCGTTTTTACAATTTATGACGATGATCTTTTGCATTTGAGATGTTGTATAGTTTTGTGAAGAATAATTATTGCAAGATCAAGAATTTCATGCAATTGTGATGACTAAATCATTTTACAATTAAAAATTTCTTTTTCTTAATCTTACAATAATTATAATGGTCTATTAATTATAACGTTTTAATGTAAATTATTAAATTGGGGGATAAAAGTATATAAGTAGCGAATTTATATTTCACACTTTAGCTCGATTAACGCGCTGAAGTGTTAAGTGTTGACTTGGATACATGCTATTATAAAAATAATTGAGCAAAGCACTAATCAATCTACAAAATTAGAAAGGGAAAACATTTCAACAAGTATTTCGACTAGGATTCTTACGCGGTATTTGTGGGATGACCTGATTGCGCTTGTCTAAAAAATATAATAAATCGATCGTGTACGAAATGAGATATTCTAAAATAATTGAATTAACAATGTTTTTATGTGCGAACGGGAAACAGTTAATAGATACTTAACGAAATCGCGATACATAGAATATTTGTGCCAAGTGCGACATTGTCGAGAATCTTTATGAGATTTCAATTTGGATTAGAAACATCTTTTCGAACACAAAACACGAAGGGTGACATCGCGGGATGGAGTGCCCGGACGATTTATGTCGCGATTTTTTCTAAATATTTATATTGCTAATGGTGCTTTGAAATGTTTCAAATCAAGAAATACCTTTATCCGTCAACATTTCGTCGGCGAATGTCTCGCTAGCCCCGAAACTGCGAAGAAGTTTTTTGTGCGATAAGTCGTTTTGACTTCGCTTGTAATAATCTGCCTTTTGTCCGAACTGCGAATAAAAGACAAGATTTTATCAACACCTTATAGCAGAATAGTTAATTTGTGAGAATTCTGCGAATACTTTCTTAGCATAAATTAATTCTTTATTTCTACTAGAATTTAAAATTTCTTTTAAACTTTATTATTTATTGTAGTTCGAGGGCGTAAAATTACACTATTCGTGATCGTCGAATTATGATAATAATAAAAAAAGACGTCATAATAGTAGATTAACTCACATTATCCTCTATTAAAGGATTGGCACCCAAATGTAGCAAAAGATTACAGTAATGACCGTTGTCTGCGATCGTCGCAGCGTAATGTAACGGAGTTCGTCCGTCGAGATCGATCGCGTTGGTAGTTTCTGGAAACCTTCCTGCCAGATACCTAAATTGAGTATAAAATATTCAACTGAGAAAGAGAGAATGGATTTGATAGTACCAGTTTATAGTCTATCATTCGAACAAAAATCTATCGATATGGCAGAGATAAATCATGAGCTATCGACGATTTGTCTAACAGTTATATAGACGAGTTACTTATCAAGTAATACCCTTGCAGTATCTTTTTTTATCAGACAATAACGAGATTTTTAACCTTATTTTCTAAAGGTTAGAAGCGTTGTTGATTAGAAGGAAGAAATTATAAAATATTGTTATCAAAACGCAGAGCAAACATAAAATGTTTATTGAATATAAAATTAAATGTGTATATATATATGTGTGAAAATATGTTAATAATACCTAATGATAATGGTATTTCCAAAGATAACGGCTACGTGCAATGGCGTTGCGCCGTGGGGTGACGATTCGTCTCGCGCCACCGCAAATTTACGGCGATCCAATGCGCTTTGCAGGTCTCGAAGATTTCCTTCTCGTGCTGCCATGTGCACAGCATGAATTTTTCCCTAATATTATATAATATATATATATATTTTATAAATAAATATATATATAACGCTTTTGCTTTCTGTGTTATTGCAACAATAACATACCATATAAGTCGGAACGTTGTCGATAAAAGCTTGGAGTTCGGGATTTCCGCACTGTCGTCCGACCAATCGTCGGCCTTCACCATTGAGAACGAGAGCCGCTAATTGTTCCATATTATCATTTTCTAGTAAACTATCTACTTCTAGATCTCTGCCCATACTACCCTCAGTCAATTCTACTTCCGCGGGCTCCTGATGTTCGCCGACGATGACCTGCTGTCATATTCAAGTACAAAATCATGCGCGCGGCTAAGAGACACACGATCGATAGGAGATATTAATCACATATGGGAATTCTACATGCAAATCGATCGTGTGTCTCTCGCCGCGCCTAACGCATATTCTACGTATGCGTGTATAGCACACAGGGTGTCCGTAAAAAAAAAAAATCTGTTGGTAACTCTCGTTGTGGGTAACTCGAGTCTTATAAATAGACTTCTGTCTAAGGAATCGTACTTTCTAAATTCTTTGGAGTGATTCTCACTCTAAAGAATGAAAATGGAGCCAGTCTTGAAAAAGAGTTACTCAGTTTTTAATCTTTAAGAGTGAGATTTTACTCTTCAGAGTGACAATTCACTCTAAAAGTTTTAGAGATAATTTCTTTTCATCATTTTGTTGGAGGAAGTGAATTGCAAATTTTTTCTCAATTTAAAAAATGTTATTATTGAACGTAATTACTATTACATATTATACATAGATATTTTATAACATCGTAATTTCAGGGACGGACATAGATTGAGATATCCCGGTTTCTTCTTTGTATTATACAAGGCGCAGTGCAGTGATCGTGACAATTCGATTAAGACAATACCTGCTCTTCATCTTGTGCAGGATCGTCAACGCCAGAATCGCCAGTACTAGGCTCGTTTCTTTCTTCATGTTCGACGGTTTCATCATTAGCGATTTCCTCGATCTTCGGGGATTCCTCGTAGATACCATCCTCATTATCGGCGGCCTCAGGCCCATCCTCCTCGTCTTTCGTTGGCTCCGCGATAGGTCCAGTTACCACGTCATCGTCAGATGACGCCTTTTCCTCTTGCTCTTCTTCGTTCTCATTGGTGGCATCTTCCTCGTTATTTTCTGCTTCGGCTTCGTTTTCGTCTCCTCCGTTATTCGCCTCATCTTCATTTTGTGCTTCTTCCTCTTCTCCGTTCTGTGCTTCCTCCTCTTCTCCATTTTGTCCTTCTTCATTTTGTGCTTCCTCTTCTCCATTTGGATTCTCAGCCTCCTCGTCTCCATTCGGAGTTTCAGCCTCCTCGTTCTCTTGCTCATCATCGCCTTTCTGTTTTACCAAATCTCGCATATATAATCCATTATATCATTGACCTGGAATTACTGGAAACCCCCCTCGTATCGAAAGAGAAAAAAAAGAAAAAATCTTCGTTTATAACTACTCATTCCGACTACGACACTACATTTCGACCGGGATGCCATTCTATGTCCGGTTATAAGTGATTTGATGGTGCACTAAATAATTATTAATCAATGTGTATTATACAATAATAAATATATCAAATCCAAACTTAGGCAGGCAGAATATCGTGCATATAACTTAGATAACAATAACAAATGTACCTTCATTGTGGATTCGGCACTACCGAAAGCGCTATCGTCACTGTTAACCTTCTTCATGCCTCGCATAATGGCTCCCTCTAAGATTCTCCAATCCCAACTTTTTGGATAAGTATCAGAAACTCGGGGCGCTTCCGGTATCATTGACAAATTCGACAGGTCTACGTCTGAAGGGCGGTTTTTGTAAAATGCAGGCGCTTTTTGTCTCTGATTAACAACAAGATTTATTGACAACAAGATTATGGTAGCATCTTATCGATTAATTATTTCTTTCCTTTTAATTATAAATAATCGACTGGTACTCACGTTATCTAGTTTACTTTCATCTGCTCCATGCTCTGTTAAAAGATCATACATGACGCCGTCGTCCTTAAGTGCAGCTGCATAATGCAGTGGAGTCTTTCCTTCATTGTCTTGAGCCGCCACCGTTGCAGAGCATCTTTCAAGGATTTCACGTGCGATGTCCGTGTATCCCAAACCAGCAGCCTTATGATAAAAAAGATAGGATAGATTTTTCTCTCTTGGAATTTTAGCAATTGAAAAAATTTATTGGACTTTCATCATAAGAGCTTACTTTGTGAAGGGCATTTAAGCCATTTGCGTCCTTGCCGCATAAAATAATGGGCAAAATAGGTTCCTCCAATTTTGTCTTGAGACCCTCCAAATCGTTATTAATGACTGTTGCGTGGATATCCTTTATTGTGCCCTGCCGAAATCATAATAATTTTATTTAATAATTTTTTAGTCACTGCAATATTAAGATTTTTATTTTTTTATAATTAATTAAACAATTGAGAAATACATGTAATTATTAATTCATCTACTGACGTACCATAATAAAGGGCACGGCTTCTAAGAATCTTCTTATCCGCGGATTATTGCTGGTCTCGCATCGAAGTTTAGATCCATGTCCTTCCCACAACACATGCTGTAATTTTCCGATGTCTTTATTGTGTATCCATATCCTGATATTGGAGGGCTTGAAATCCATATCTGAGCATAAAGTGAATGAATACGATTTAGACAATATTCCAGGAATCTCATGACTATTTATATTAAAGAATCTAGAGTAACGGCACTTTTTATTGTAATAATAAAATCGATAAAAACATAAAAGCTTCCAATGATAGCAATCTAATAAGCAATTAGATTAACTACAAAATATAAATTTAGATAGTTACAACCACTGTACTACTCTTTCGATAAATTTTGAAAATTATTTAGATGTAGCTATATCAAATCAATTTATATTTGGCTAAACAATGAACACAGAATATGAAATAAAAATAAACAATTTCACATGATCATCACGGAAACATTATAGTATAAGATGGACTCGATTACCTTTTACAACTATGGCATTTAAATAGCGATGTTTTTACGAAATATTCATGAACGGTATGACTCCTTGAGCTACGTACCATTACTAAGACGTTAAATTTATAATTCACAAGAAGTTTATGGCTCAATAAATATTAAATGTCAGAACCGTGTTTAGAGTGTCACATGTTCTTTATGACAGGGAAATCTCAAATTCCGTTAGAATGTCGCATTTTTATCACGGTAAAAATGTTGATTGTTATTCTCAACAGATTTGTTTCCTCTGAATGTAATTTTATTACGATATTTATAATTTCAAAAGTTATGTTATATTTGTATCAAAAATTGTTTGCATAATTTAAGTTCCGAAAGTTGGTGTCTATGCAAATACATCGGAAATAATTCTGTCCGTTATATTCAGAAATATCTGTTGTTAAAAATGAATTGTGGCTCAGTTAGATCTATTGATGCGCGCCTTGGATAATAGTTGCATGCACGCTACATTTAATATTTTATATCGTCTTGAATACGCGGATGGCAAGTACAGTTACTAGTTAATAAATTTTCTAAAAGGTTGAGCAGTGTACGGAGTTTGTCATATTACTGACACGTTTCCAGCTGCGCATACAGTGCACGTAGACATTTTCTTACACGATAAAGAGAACTTGTTTTTAAGCTACCTGTGCCTATTTACAACTCTTTACCTGTCATGCTTCAGTATTTCTAATAAATTATTATTGCCGCAATGGTTCGTGAAATTCTACGATCACGCGAGATTTCTCAAGGATTGAACGTGTAAATACGAAAACGATAAGTCTGTATTGTGTGAAAATATAATGATTTAATGGGTAGTTCTAATTGTGCAAGACCAATCTTTGAATTTATAGCGAAAAGAAGAATTATATCTATTAAATTATTTTTGTACATGAGAATATTAGCAGCGTTTTAACGAAAGATATTATTTTTAATTTATTTTTTAAATAATAGAAATAGTTCAAGCTATTTGTTTGTATCGTGCGCAAGCAATTTTACAAGAATTCCTTATGTACAATCGCATAAGAAGAAAAGTCGATTGTTGGAATATATATTTACAGGAAATTGACTTCGATCCTTGGGCGTAATTGCTAGCATGGCAGTACGATCGAAGAATGGAAGATGAGTTCTTATCATTGGTGAAATTAGAACTCAGCCGTTGTTAGGATAATAGGTCGATTCACGACCTATTTGTTTGCGAAGTCATTTAACGATCGAAAAAGTAGTGATAGTTGTAATGGTAGTCGTAGTTCCATGTAATTACGGTACATTGCAATTTTTTTACAATTAGATGAGTTTTTATTTGTGTTAGTGAGATGAATATTTAAGATAAGAGATGCTAAGATTAAGAATGAAATAATTTTTGCATAAGTTGTGTAATTGCGACTAAAAAGGTTTAAAGCTTTGCTTTTTCATTTAGATTTTATAATTCGCACGAGGTGATTCTTCGTTTCGACCGTGTCTCTGTATCGAACGCCGCAGTTAGCCTTGCCTTACAAATTTATGTGTTATCGATTCTTCACGGTCATTAGAAACGGATATGTGGGGCATAAGGCGAAGAATCTATATCCGCGAAAGTAGGAAACAGGCGAAAAATGGCTATAGCATTCCATCGGTCACAAGGTTGCCCATCGAATCGTTCGCGATATTTCCTCGAAATTGTTTTAACGACTTGCTGACGAACCAGCGAAATTAATGTAATATTTAAGCACGCTTATCCACTGGTATTGATTGTAAAAAGTTAGGATATGCTTTGTATGTGTATATATTTTAACAATACAAGACACTTTATAAGTACTTAGCTTATCTATTTAATTTTTATGAAAAGGCGATATTATGTATTCTCTCTAAATTCTTTGGAGTGGAATTTCACTTAAAAGAGTGAAAATTAAGCCACTTTTCCAAAACTGGCTCAATTTTTAAAGAGATTTCGCTCTAAAAGTTTTAGAGAGTATTTAAAAGCTTTAAAGAATATCTTACGTGATATGTAGAGCAAAAGAAAAATATAATTTTCGATCAAGAAAAATAATTTTCTTTGTATTATCATAAAATCAAGAATATACTTAACATTTTTATCTTTTAAAATAAATTAACAATACTCACTATCCTTTGCGGTACTTTTTCTTCGTCGAGTTGTCATCTCTACTTCCGGTAATTCAATGTCCGAAGAATGTTCCAAGTAATAAGAAGCCGGATTTCCTTTCTTGTCACAAATACTAGCGTCACATCCGCCTTCTATGAGAATATCCCAAATTGGATCAGGATCTTTACACACACAACAATAGTGCAAGGCTGTTCGTCCTTCCTAAATCGTAAAGAATGACATATGAAGTATAATCGTCTAATCATAAATGGATTTAGAGTTTTCGAGATTTACATCTTCGATGAGAGGGTGTCAAACAACCGCTAAAGTCGATATGCGCTGATCAAAATTGTTTCATTCGTTTTGTGTATTTGTATATGTATATCTGTTAGTAGCAAACTCATGGCTGGCAAGGAAAGAACAGGTGGTTTACACTTCGTTATTATCAGCGTCACGCGATGCGGGGCCGTGACAAACGTTGCTAGGAAGAAGTACTATTCGATTATTCAGGAGCTTCTTCTCGAGCAAGTTGACAAGCATTTGCGACACGATTCCATCGTGAAAATAGGCGAACTTTGTGAATTATAGAAGATAACCGATCGAAGTTAATACTCGCGTTACTATGTTAAAGCTCGTGTAAATTAAGACGATTAAGGAAATATTATTTTTTAAATAGAGCAATTTAAAAAGAGAAATTCAGTGGATTAGTTTTACAAAAACTGCTACCATTAAACAAGCTCTTTATTGTTATATTTAAGATGCTTTGACTGAAACCGATTGAGTGTACAGTAAAATTTTTTATGAAGCATGTAATTCGTTTTTACGGCTTATGGATAGCAATGTTGGAGAAGATTTACTCTATCTTTCTGTTGTGGCGTAATAGGATAATTTTCTACGAGCCAAGAAACTATCTCGGGTTGATCATAGTAGACCGCTTTGTGTATCAAAGGTACTCCACATGAATCCTTCGCGATCGCCAGCTTTTTCTTCGATTCCTCAGAAATTATCTTCTGCGTTTCAGCTAACGAGCCGCGCGTAACAGCATCGTGCACTTGAGAGATTTTCGTCTAAAATAAATCGAACGATTTATTTGATTTTTATCAATACTTTTTCTTCTAATGAAACTCTTTCAACTTGGGAGTAATTTTTCAGATTGATAAAATTTAGTGGCTGTTTAAAATATATTTTGTCTAATTACTTACCAAATAGTTGGGGAGTCCCTTCAGGAAGACACGAGTTCTAAGATCTTGCGACTGTTCACCTAACAAACGCGTGCCCCGACCCTCCAATACAACATTTTCGAGTCTCTCAAGTTCGCCACGATTCAACCAATTTTTTACAGCCGAATGCATTTCAGCTCCTGCAACAGAACGATAATCCAAAAATTGTAAAAATCCAAAAAGATAAATATTATAAATATAGAATAATCATGACGCAGTTTATTTGCAAGAGTATCAATAATTTTTTATTTAAAGTGACACTCTATCCCATTTTATAAAATGTGTAATTGCATTTGTTATCGATTGAAATCCACATAAGAGCTTTTTAATGTATTTTATGTTCTATAGAGGATTAGCAGACAGACATTTCGTCATTACCGGCTTCTCTTTGTTATTGATTCGCATGTTCCGCAGCATTCAAATATATTTTTGCTTGCATATTCATAGTGCTTTATGGATGATTGGCGGGTCAGGATGTAATAGCGATATTCATGACACGCGAAAAGTAATATCAGTCGAAAGCGCGCATAGAGATTCTCTCTAATACGTAGTCAGAAAGCTCCAATATGTAGTTTGTCGAGAGTTTGCGTTCCGACAGATTTTCTTCAATTACTGAAGCATAATCATGCTAACTATTCTCGCTATATTGCAAAAGATCGTATCATGCTGCGGTTTCGACAATTACGTCGCGGGAATGATTTCATTATGTACTATCGCACTGGATCTCGTCGGTTATTTATTCATTATTGTAAACCTCATCATTAATTCGGTACACGCATTTGGACTTTTTCTTCTACGAAAAGCAATCGGTGAATTCCCTGTTTCTTTTTATTCAATGTCAATGCTCGTAGATTAATTTAATAGAATATAAACATATCATTTAGATTTTATCATCGTGATTCATATGTTTCCTATTTGTGTTTTCCTATTTTGAAGCACATTTATTTATGTTTTGGACTCTCAATAATGTATGTTTTAGAAAATATGACTTGATTAGTATTCGTAAAGTAATGAATAAAGCTTTTCATGCATAAACTTCTAAAATAAATTCTATATATCTTTGTAATAAAAAATATTTTTTAATATGAATTAACAAATCTAAACAAAGAGAGAAATTAAATTGTGAGAAATTAAATTTTTTAAAGCTAAACAAAGAAAGAAATTAAATTGTTCCTTTCAGATTCCAATCGCGAATGTTGCGAAAGCAATCGATATGATTTTATAATCATAGCAATTATTCTTTACACGAAGTCTAATATTACAAGGAAATAAAGGCATATTATGTGAACTCTCGTTTATAGTTGAAAATTAACTTTTTTATAGGTTCAAAAATTGAAGCAGATCGGTAAGATAAATTCAACATATTATATTAAGTTATCAATGACTAACATTAAAACTTATGAATATTTCTACTAAACATATCTAAGAAAGACGGTTTTTTTGTGTTAACAAAAAAATTGTTAAAAAAATATACGGCTAAAGGATAAATCAAATCGGTAGTGCTTATTCGGTGGTGCTTTATTCGGCAGTGCATTAAAGAAAAAGTGATACCTGATTGGGTCTGATTCGCTTCATTTCTGTGTCGATCAAATGAACTATACGGGTCGGAAAATGTGCGTTGTATCGCGTTCTAAAAAGATATGACACACAGGCGTCGCGACGCTGCGACACGAGTAAGCGTCGCGCGTCGAATGAAGCCGACTCTCGGCGTCACGACGCCACCTGTGCGAACCTGCGTTTTTCACAAACGAAAAGTCTATGCTTGGAGGGTTTTTGGAGTATCTGTAACATAAATTCTTGATTGATATTAATTCTTTATTCGCCTGAACTGAACGTGAAAGAGGACAATTCTCCTTTACGTCCAGTTCAAGCGAATAAATAAAGTATTAACATCAATCAAGAATTCATGTTACAGATACTTTGGCAGTCATTGATTTCTTCCGACGGAACTGCATTCTTCCATTCGGCAGACTAACACTGCATTTGATCGTCTCGTAAAATGAAATAAGATGCGTAGTATATGTTTATTTTCCCCGCCTGCGTCAATAACCACGTGTCAAAGTAAAACGATAAATTATGTTATAATGATAGAAGCATCGCCGCTTACGAGAATTTGCTAAAAGAATTCCAAAAGTTTCCACACATTGCGCTATATTTTTCTAGTAATCAGTATCTCTTTCTTCAACTAACAATTAAAAAAAATAATCAAAGAAAGATAAAATAATTAATATCAAAATGGAATATCAAAGAAATGCGCTTTAGTCAAGCTCACTCTTTACCCAGTGTAAGCTGCTAATCAAACAAAGTAATTTCATTATACAAATGACACGCAATGACATTATTAAAATTGAGCGACAAGGCCAAAGAAATAAATATTTCCCTGAAATGGGACTTTTCACGGAAGTACTCGTTAATATATAATTATAGTTGTAAATGCGACTAATTTCGTAATATTCAACAGTACGATGGTAATTAATATTGCAATGTCTAATATGATGAAATGATGCAAAAACGAATTCATCACGAAATGTGTGTTCTCTCTGATCAAGTAGTGTTTGAAACGGAAATAACTTTAGTCAATATCTTCGTGAAAGAAAACTTTCAGGAATGACTTTTATCTTTCATTCATCGACACTGTCGTCGCAGTAATCCTGATCGAATGATAGACTAGGGAAACGAACTATCATATTTCGTCGCGTTTTAATTTGGTATGTCTCATCTATCTTTATTTTTTACGTTTTATACGTGCGTTTTCTATTCTCACATATTTGTTCTTATATCACGGTGCTGCAATCGATGTTAGTGAGTACAGTGCAATGACACATCGATCATACTACGGCTTATAGATACCTCCGTGTCGCGTGAACTCTTCAACTGATTTTGCTTTTGTTGAAACATATAATGCGTTGTAACAAAGATAATTTAAAAATTAAAAAACTTGTGATTTCACAGATGAAATTAGTAGTAGTTTATATTTTAATTTAACAAGCTAGATTGAATTTGTAGTAATTGAACGAAAAACAAAAATATATTGTATAAAAATGTAGGTATCGCTTATATATAAATCTATAGTCTAAAACTATAAATCTATAGTCTTAAAACTACGGCAATCACCTTTTTGATCGTAACTCTACCAAGAAATAAGATAATTATCGAAGCCGCCTTTACAATATCGCGAACGAATATATCGTCTCGCGTACTATTTAATGAGAAACCCCATTTTCGATTCTTATCGGAACGTTAATTATTAATAATACGTTTAATTCGCCACTATTATGTCAAAAGCGTCTTTCTGATTCATCGTATTACGTAAGGCACCTTTTATATTGAAACGGAACAAAACACGTTCGAGAGCTACGAGCCACTTTGTAAGACTGACGATGTATCGTTTTCCACGTTTTCCACGTGTCCTATTCACCCAAGTTCTATATTATTTATGAGGGATATAGCTAGAAAGTATAGCTTTGGTGCCATAATGCCGCCATGAAAGCGACAATCAACTACCTAATGGTTAATTCTGAATAGTTGAATATTTATTGTTCCACATTCAGAAGTGAAAAAATTTGAACGTGTTAAGCGTGCGTAAATACGTTCATTAAATTCAACCCGGAAAAAATGTTATATATATATATATATATGTATATATATATATGGACATATTTTATATTATATAAATATATATAAAAAATTGTATATACATAGAATTATACATATATAAAATATATCAATTTTATATATGTATAATTCTATATGAAACTTTTTTTCCCGGGAAGAACAATCGTATATCACGGAACAGATATTTCGTACGGTTCATTCATTTGGAATCAAAAACGTGATGGAAAAACAGAATTTATTACTATTTCGCGATAATTACATACAACAATTATTTTTGTTTGATGTACCATTTTTGTCTCGCTTAAGTATAACTGTCGATTATTCTTCGAACAGTATCACATAAGTCATAAAAAAGCACCATTAATAAATACTCTCATGCAAATAACGTAATTTATGCGATTCCTACTTTCACAATTAATATAATGTTTGTAATTAATAATTTCATTAATTTTTCGTTTTCGTGCATCTTCCGTGATATGATAAAAAATTAAGTGTAACTTCGAAACTATTTATCGGTAATAAAAGAAATATTTTTCGTTTTTATTAATCTCTAGCTCATTCCATTGACTCTAATCATATATTACAGACATCGTAATAAGAGATTCAGCCCTTTTATCTGTTCTGAATTTATTTCGCAATGATGATGTGTTTTTGATATTCACTTGTAAAAGTTAACCGATAATTGTACAATAGTATAGATAATAGCTGTATATTACATTTTTCAGATGATATTTTCCCTCTCACGGGTACACCTTGACGTGGTGGGAGGGCTCAGTACCCAGAGGATATA